GAAGAGGAAGAACTTCAGGCGTTATGGGATGCTGGAATTGCAGGAGACAAGGCAATGAGGGAGAAGCTATATACAGCTATATGGAATAACGAGCCACAGTTCGCATCCCACTTACAGTTAAAGGCTGCGCGAGCGGAATGTGAGCTGGACATGCGGGGAGCGTTGTGCTTTAGAAAAAGGCTGTGGGTACCAAACTGGGAACCTTTGCATAAGGCTCTTATCCAGAAAACGCATGACTCGCATGCAACAGGACATCCAGGACGAAATAACACGATCGCTATCTTATCGCGATCCTTTTTCTGGCCGGGGTTGAGCCAATTGGTAAGGAGGTTTTGCAAGAATTGTGACGTTTGTGGCAGAAGAAGAGTGTGGCGCTCTAGAAGGCAGGAATTGCTGTTGCCCTTACCAGTGCCGGAATGTTTCCACAGCGAGTTGTCGATTGATTTCATGACGGACCTTCCAGTGAAGAGCAAGGGGGAACCTCAGTACTTCATGGTAATCACGGATTGCTTACTGAAGAGCGTCACGTTGGAAGCCATGCAAACCATGTATGCTGAGGAATGTGCGGAGCGTTTCATAGTTTGTCATTGTAGATTCCATGGATTCCCACACGCTTTGACATCGGATAGGGGTTCAAATTGGGTCGAAGACTTCTGGAGGCACTTATAGTGCCTCTAGACTCCAAAAGGTAAAACTTCAAACTGGGTCGTTGAAGGGATTAGCCCTGTAGGCGCTGTTGGGCTAGCTCGTAATGGGTTAGTATGTCTCTCCTCCTTACCCCGCTCGCCATGAAGTATGGTCCAATCGTCTTCTTCTAATAATCGCTTAGAAAAACACATTTTGTACGAGATTTTTGGCTGTCTGGCCTACACAGACATTGAAACTTCACACCACTATCAATTCATCCCCATTCTAGCATACAACGTCTCTCCAAAAGTCTGCTTCAGAAACTAAAGTTCGCAAGCATCTAACTCGCGATCAATGTATTGAAACAAGAGCATTAAGAAGACTTGGCTTGACACTTCAAAATATACCCGACAAACTTGGCTCCACAATAGGACAAGTACAACTTGCATGTGCTCGAGAGACTGAGAATATTATGTCTCGCAAAGGACCCTTACCAAAATTAAGCGCGGAACAAGTTGATGAGCTTGAGGCTTTCGTCCGGGAGTCTCCTGAAAATCGACAGATGTGCTATTTGGAACTAGCCATGGGGCCCTTCAGCCACTGGGGATGCAGTGAACGTCTAATTTCTAATGCACCCAAAATAGAGGTTACAGCAGATGCATTGCTCGGAAGAAGCCTCCGTTGAGCGCGGTGAACAAGCAGAAAAGATTGGAGTTCGCCCAATTACATTTAGATTGGAGCAATGAACAATGGAGTCGCATATTGTGGACTGATGAAACCTGGGTATCGGGTGATTGTCATATGAAACCTTGTGTCACAAGAAAAGTACGTTTAAATTCCATCTGAATCTTCCTTATACTAACAGCAGAGTTTAGCCTGATGAGTTTGATGAGACTTGTACTGTGGCTCGCCATGCTCATGGGAACAGCTGGATGTTTTGGGGATCATTTTACGGATCATAAAAAGGCCCATCCCTAGTCTGGGAGAAGGATTGGAGATCAATGAGGTCCTCATCCTTTTGTGAAAGGATTTTGCCACTTGAATCAATTTAACTCGGAAAATCCAGAAATTCTATACATGCACGACAACGCACCATGTCATAAAGCATACTCAACAATTGAGGCGCTGCATGAAGTTGGAATAACGCCTTTTAGATGGCCACCTTACTCTCCGGACCTGAACCCGATCGAGTCATTGTGGAACATCTTAAAAAACCACATTCAGGTAAATAGTCCTGAGATAAATGGGGTCAGGCTTGTGCGCTCTGCGACGTTGAAAACATTGCTACAGGATGCCTGGGACTCTCTACTTTATGAGGAGCTATTTTCACAAGTTGGCAGCATGCACGAAAGATGTGTAGCAGTGATAAAGACAAATAGAGGGTACACAAAGTATCAGGATGGAGAAGACACACAAAACATGTAGTACGCTTTCACTTTAGTTGCGAGCTGTACTTAGGGCTTCGAAGTAGACTTTTGTAATATAGAGCAATAATTTTTGAAATAGATGTGCATTTTTAGAGAATATCAATTGATTTTTTGAATTTTGAATTTCATGAGGACCATTGTACTTTTCCCAATGAGATGAAAACCATCCCCATAATTTTGACTTTCACTGAATGTCATTGGATAGTACCCCTTGCTTGCATAGCTAGTTGAGTGACTAGACATGGGCCTGCATGAAGACTATACCAATTAAGGCAATAGCTACAGGGGTCTAACCCCAGTAATTTTGACAATCATACCTTTGCCATCCATAAGAGACTCTATGCAAGATGACAAGGATCGAACAACGCTTGTCTACAGCATTCCACCCGGAAACCGATGGGGCGACAGAGAGGATGAACCAGCAGGTTTCAGCATACCTACGGGCGTTCATATCATTCTCACAGGTCGAATGGGCATCAATGCTATCTACGGCGCAATTGGCGATCAATAATAGGGATAGTGCGGCCACAACCTTAAGCCCGTCTTTCCTGGAACATGGTTATCACGCAGAGCCGGTACAGCTAAAGTCGTCCGAGCCAAGAGAGCCGCTATCAACACGGGCCAAACGAGCTGAGAAATTCGTGGAGAGGATACGAGAGGCACAAGAATTCGCTGCTGCAGCAATGGCGGCCGCGTAGCAGATAATGGAGGAATAGGCAAACAGGAAGGGAGATCCTCCGCCGCAGTTTAAGGTGGGCGATAAGGTGGGCGATAAGGTGTGGCTTAGCCTTAAGAACATTTCCACGCCCCAGCCAAAGAAGAAGTTAGCGTGGGTCTGTTGGAAATGGAGACACGTAGTTTTTTGTACGTACGGACTCTCCATTTCGTCTAGGTTCCCGACACGATCTCGTGTGTATTTAAGAGGTTGGAATAGGTGATTTGGTAGCGCTTCAGGCTACCTATTGGATATATGAGCGGCTGTATGGCATGGGCGCAAGGAGGTTACTGGGGGTTTCCTATGCCTAGATGGCGCCACACTCGTTTATGCTGTGACTTAGACTACGTGTCGCTTACACTTGCAGTTGTTGCGCACATTTCTCACAACATTAGCTGCAAACCGAACATATCATTCTTTTAGTCAACTTCTACTTTCGTTCCATAAGTATTGCGCCCATCTCATTGCGCGATATTTCCTACAGGGTCAACGCAAAATACACGGTAGTAAGAGTAATATCACCACATGTGGTAGAGTTGGATGTTCCGTCTGGGATATGGCCAAGATTTCACGTGGAACTGTCACGAAAGGCTAACGATGACCCGCTACCCTCTCAGATCCATGATGACGCGCAATCTTCACCTTTGATAAAAGATGGAGATAACACGACTCCTGAACAGGTGGTCGAACGGATTTGAAGGGCAGAAAGGTCCGACGCGGTAGAGGATGGGTACGTCGAGTATTGGTCAAATGGAAGGGTTTCGCCGAACCGGCATGGGAAGATCGAACTGATCTCGAGGACGTGGAAGCCATGGACCATTTCGAAGCATTGAACCGTAAAGGAGACAATGTCGGAGAGAGCGAATGATTCAGACAGGGAAACAAATCGGTCAGTCATAAGAGGAAGGGAGGTAATGTGACGGGCTTTGGCCGGTTTGGGACTGGTCACTAGGACGACTCCGTCTCCGAGGTAAGGTAGTGGCAGAGCAACGCTTCTGGATAGACGAAAGGGGCGCTAAGGGGGTATCAAAGGGGGTACGTACCAGATGGGTGTGGATCCCAATTGACGGAAACCAGACCGTGCACATTGTGCGCTGTTGATTGGCTCACGTGGTGCGGGGGAATATTTAAGTAAATTGGCGATCCTGTACTTTAAGAATCATACACATATTTTTAGTCTCAAGCTCTACTCACATTATATTGTTGATTCGTCGGAGCCACGAGACATCTGCGTGAAATCATTGTGATCATAAACCGATCAACCAAAAGCCGCATGGGGATTATGATACGGGAGAGGAGTTGTGCCGGGAGAAAAGATTATACTCACATGACCAAAGGGCGGAGTTAATGCTAGCGTACGCGGAAGACATGAAGTACAGGTTACGATGTAGTAGTTTAGTTTTCCAAGGAAAAATTATTCATTTCCATTGCGTTAACGACTTCAAGTACTTCTGAATTCTTTAAACCCTTTACAGCTGCTACAAAAAGCGACTCAAGCTAAACCTACCTGTGCGACAAGTACCCAACGTGGTCTTCAGCCATCCCGATCATAATGTTCCTACAGATTATAATAGGCTGCAGCTGAAGCACTTCAAATTTAAATTTAAGCTAAATTCCCATTCGCCGGAATGTCATGTTGCAGCAATCTGGGGGAAGTTAAATTCTCATGGATGGCTTTAGTGAACATAGCTTATCAAGCGATATGTGTTAGCACTAAATATCATCCTGGTTGGATGATGCCTTGGTACATCACTGTGTTGACTTTGCGAGAAGAGACAAACGTGCTGAATCACCACCCTATTCGAAGTAGTGAAGCACTAATTTGTTCGCAGCCGAGCGCAACCAATAATCGTGCGGGACTTGTGTTAAGAGAGTCAAGCAAGCCCATAATCAAGGATACACGTCGGGTAGTTGACATAGATTGAGCTGGCCAACCCGAGGCCCTACGGTTGTGTTGTAAGCTAGCACGACGTAAGATAAAAAAAAATCAAGGATTGTGTGTACACTGGAGAAAAAAAGATTCATAACGGTTCTTAGGAATGGATTCTGTTGCATGATGATCTTTTACATTACTAGAACGTTTTGATATGTACAAAAGACACTGATTAAGTATCATTACTAAGCAGTCAAATGCCTAAAATAAATTGCGAAGAAAACTACCATCATCATAAACTCCAATAAGTCTTACTGATACTAGGGCTGAATAGACCGTACTCTTATTTGAGGAAGATTTAAGCCCAAGTTGAGGGGCCAATAATCTGACCTGGAGCAAGAGTTTTGCGGATAGCCTTGTTTTGTTGATCCATATTATCAAAGACTTTATCGTTTCCGAACCACTATTAATGCGTAAATACCAAGCATTAAGCATGAAATATAGCAACATACCTTTGGAGCCTGGGCATTGGTGAGCTGTAGAGCGAAGAAGATAAGAAGTGTGCAGAGAATGAGACCACAGTCAAGCCCTGCTGATGTTATGTAGTTCTATAAGGAAGTTAATCAGCTAGCATCCCGATGACGGGGCTCATCTTACATATCGTGTCCACCAACCGTTGTAGCGGTCACGAATGTACTTTTGAAATATGAATCCGACGGCTCCCCTGTGTTATGGTTAGCAAATTGCCTCTAAAAAATCGTTTGTTTGGCTACGAACCAGCAAAGGAGATTGTAAACTGTTGCCGGCGGAATGGCACCGAGACCACCAAACATAACTGGCACTGAGATATATTGAAAGATACTTTTTGGCCACTTTTTTGCCATAAAACGTGTGATAAATGGTAAAATACCACCTAGGAGAAAATACAATAGGAGTGGAGAATACATAGAGCCAATAGAAAAAATTCGAGAAGGTCCAATTGCTCCCCATATTACTGATGCCGTGAAAAATACATTGCCACCTGGGCATGTATAGGAGGACTTCTGATCTGGCGAACAAATCCTGTAACTTTTAGTTCATGTTCAATATACCAGAGGATGCACAGACCCTTCTATATTTTCTAGAGCCCAGTTCATTACGACAATCTGAATTATGGAGCTCCACACAGTTGCCACTAGTTTGAATTAAAAATGGAGCCAGCAAACTTCAGACTGGACACTTACCTGCTTGTGCGAAAAATAGAGTTTTTGGGGGCACCTTCATGTAATGCCCTAGTTTTAGGTCCTGTAAAAAATATTGTGCTTGGGTCATTACGATGTAACCTACTTTATTAGTTATTCAAATAGTAAAACTAGGGAATCTTCATACCGTAACTTTTGAACATCATCATAGCCAATGGCTGTCCGGGAGTCATATATCCAATGATAAATTCGGTAAGGACATTCAGCCCAATTGAGATGTTTGTCGTCGCTAGAATGATTCCGACTGGCACTACAAACACACAGGGGATTATTATACAAATGATCATAGCCCACCACTTAAAGTGCGTATCCCATACTAAAATAACTACGAAGCTTAGGCAAAGCATAACGGCAAAGGTGGCCAAATACCACCTGTATTTTGTTAGCCCATGTCATGAAGTCAAATTAGAGCTGTACCAGTCTGGTGCATCTTTATACTTCTTCATCATTCTCATGTGACAATCATCTTCCTGGTTTCTGGCCATTTTCAGTTGTTTCCACATAGTCTTTCTCTCGTAGAGAATCGTATGAACTATGACAGCCGTTATAGCTGCAAAAGAATTGCCATATGAGAGCGCAAAGTTAGTCGACAGAAAGATCGGAGAGTAGGATTTGTATTCAGCTTCATCAAATTGAAGTTTAGAATTAAGTATTCGGGAGACATTATACTGCTGAGCTGTATTGTCATAGCTACGAGAATCCTGTATGGGTAAGTAATCGGACATCCAGGCTCCTGAATAATGTATTCCTAATGCCGGGCAAATGACAAAGATCAAGAGACCAATCATTGTATTCATTATTGCATGCCATGGCCTATGTGATGTGTTAAGTGTGGCCTTTTATGCAGGTGGAAAATATTAGGTATGCTCACGGAATTAGAGGCGAAGCTAGAGTAGGTCCGTCAGTGAAACCCCGGAAATTGTCATGAATAACGTACTCAGGTATCCGGAAATGACAGTCCAATCAAATGTAATGGGAATTAATCCCAAGCCAGTCAACTACCAAATGAGGAATCTTAGCATTATCTATTTTGCTTGAGCTTGGACCTGGACTTGCGGTACTTACCCCTCCAAACATTTGATTAACAATGACGTTTTGCGGGGCAATCCAGCATGCAAACGTAAAATAAGATAGACCTTTAAATATCCATCCGGGAAAGAAATACCAAAAGAAGGATGCGCACATTACATACACAAACCATCGATATCTACCTACAGTCCAGCTTGTCTTCTCGAAATTTCCTGGAAGGCTTCGACCATGCAAGCTAGTTATGTTATTAGCCGATATTGACCCCTGTTGAGAAGTTATCCTATGCTTACGTGTACATCAACACACAATTTACTAAATCGCTGGGCCATATCATTGCGGCTGGCCAGACGAGCCATCGTCTGCAGACTCCAGCAAGCCCATAGCCCATCATCTGATTTGAGATTGCAAATAGTAATTGGAAGGCCCATCTTTTTTGTTTTTAGTTTTGACAGCCAGGTACAGAGATATGAAACCTACCCGAAATCCTGACCATAGAAAAGTTTTTGGCTGACCAAAACATCTGTCGCATAAATTGCGCCACCTGCATACGCAGCATTCGCCATACAGACAATTACTGTATGTTCTTTGTAGTTGAAATTTCCTGGCTTAAGATTTATTTGGTGTCCAAAAAGATGAAATACTTTGTCGGGCATTATCAGGTCCCATCCTCGACCAATGGGAAAGGCGATCAATTGCACCGCATAAGTCGTAATAGAGATGGAAGGGTTTCGCAGGGAGAATAGACAGTTTATTCCGGCGCCAAGAGTCGTTAATGTAAGGCCAATAGTCCAAGCTCTGATGGTGCTTGCGGGTAAATCTTCATCGAAGTTTCGCACGGCAGCGCGTACCTATATGTAAGGTTAATAAAGGCCTCAAATACTTGATAAATGCTCTTTCATCAGAGACATATATCACCTTTGACGTAAACAAACCTCTAGATATGGGGAGTCATCCGCAATGGTGGCCTCAGAGACGTCTGGTCCATTTTCTATCGAAGCGCTTTTTGCTGAATCATCAACTTCTTTTGGGTGTTGTGAGACGAGATTTGGGTCGAATTGGTATGTTTGGGTTGTTTCTTTGCTTTCATGCTTTTCATTTTCAGGGAGAGCTGGGTCGTCATGTTGTGTACTAGGTAGACTGTCTCCAGTGTCCGAAATGGCCGCCGTCGCCTGAGGTGTTTCTGAGATGGCATTCAACTCTGCATGTACGCTCTTTCTCCTGATGCTCATGATGAATCGGGCCCAATGTGGCTCGGAATGTATGGCCGAGGAGGAACAGAGGGCGGATGCAGCGCAAGATGGTATCTTTTAAGCCATTCATGCAACTTCAGCCATGTCCGCATAGGCATTTTCCTGTCTGTGAGAGTTGGCAGGGATTTGGGGGGGGGGGGGCAAATTGAAAGGAGCCTAGCATAATGGTTAGAAAATAGTGGTGGCGATTGATATGGCCTCTCTGACGGTTCCCCGCCAATAGAAAAAATCATCAGGTCAACGCTGGCAATGAATGATTTGTGGTAGTTTCTCATGCTGCTTTAAGAAGTTGAGGGATATTCAAACAGGACTGGCTCGGCGACCAAATACCTATGGGATTCAGATACAGGGTGTAGATTTAGAGCAGGAGGATAGGAACAACCAGCTAGGATACCTGGATTAAACAATGGCCCAAAGTAGAGGCGTCGGTTAGGTAATTGGCCAGCCCGAATAATCCATCTTCATCTTGCGACAGTTGTTTAACTGAATTATATCGAAAGTAGCTCAGCAATCGATGTGAGCGTGCTCGTGAAACCCTCCAGAGATCAATTGCGTAATGCCATCTAATTCTCATCTATAAAAATTGATAAGAATGATCGTCATCGCTAATGTCTCCACTGACAGGGGCGAAGCTTCATGCAACTGCAGAGTTTGCAGGGAGGGTAAAGATCGGCCTTATTGTAAACGACCCCCTGTTTATACATAGTGAAGCATCAAAGGGAAGCATCTCTTGGTCCCCCTGCCTCACATCGGGACACAAAGTTAATGGATTCCAGCTTGTCACCGACATGTGAGCTAGTGGGAGAAGCTCCATATTTTCATGAAATCTCATTTGAACAATTTGACTATCTCGACGGTTGACGCCGCTTAGACATTATCTCTGACCCTTACATTCTAATGGACACGCGATGACAGGTCTTGGCATGTTCTGCTGCCACCCCTTAAATGACGAGCGCCACTACGAACGCCTGTGCGTTAGACGTTTTGCTACAGCTCTGAATTTTCGCATTACTGGCAATAACGAACCATCCTAAACGGGTAATAAGTTAGGGCTATACTCTGAGTGAGTCTACGGTGGAAAGAGCTTTTGCTATGCAATTATTTATTACACACACTCTATCAAAACTTTTCTGAGATTTCAAGACAAATTTCGGGAAAGAGATGGAAGGAGGCTAGAATGGCGGAGAGTAGCATTCCTTGCTGCACACAGGTTCGTAGTGCGTGGCTGGCAGGTATACATTAATGCTCCCGAAGCATAGCGCTGTGTCTCTAGATTTAACCCTAATATCGATGATAAAAGAGCCCGGCATCCAGTCGTTGTTGCAATTATCCCCGGCTGCCATAAAACCGCAAATGGCCATCTTTTTTTTGGCTAGAGAACGAAGGTAATGGAGGAAAATCGGCTCCTAAAAGTGTTTGTTCAAATGAGAACTTGTGAGCGGTAACACTATTTGATGGTAGCTGCATAGAAGGGTTAATACTGCCAGCAAAGTTATACTCGGCTTGTAGGCAGAGAACACCTAGAAATTTCATATAGTTATAGGCTAAGGAAGGGCAGAAATAGTATCAAAACATCCTAGCCGCTACAGGTCAAAGACACAAAGGAGCCCTACCAGTACAGACATACGGTAGGTGTCAAGTATACATGTTCAGAAAATTTAAGCTGCAAGAAAATTTTCGCCTTCTCGACCTGACTACAAACATTCTAAGTGCAGTTGATTGGACCCGGGTGATTGTTTTGTCTATGATTTTTGAAACTTTTAGTACTTGTACCGTTCTGGCGATATTTGTGATCCACCTTCAGAGATTTATCCGCCACCGGGCAATAAATGGGTATAGACGACTACGACTTGATCTTGCCACATGTTTGGATTCAGAGCCACTTGGGCTGTTGACATGACAAGTGTAGTACATTCGAGGTGTAAGCTGGTTAGCTTTGAGTTCCCAAATGACTAGGTATACCAAATATCTTTAGGCCTTGTCGTGAGCAGAAGAACCCATCTAGTCCATAACTACCTCTAGAGCCGCGTCCCCTGAGTTGGAGGGCAACCAAGGGATGGATGCCAATTTCTACATTAGAGTCTGTCCGTTTATCACCGGTTCTGGTGAATGTGCTAGCACAAAGAATGAGTAAAATGGCTATTGATCAAAACGTATATCTATATCTCTATATATGATGATGATGATCTATATTTTACGTCTAGCGAGCCACGCGCTTGACGTGTGGCCCTATTAGGTTCCTACTGAGACAAAAGACGCCAGGGTCTAATCCCTAGGCTTCTACATATTTGAAAGGAAAGGAAAAAAAAACCAATACGAGACTTTATATACATAGAAAGTGCATTTACATAGCTACTACCCGCAGATTGCTAAGTTCTTATGTGGTTATGTAATAATTGCTCGGCGCTATCCCCTGCGTAAGTCAGTCCACAATCTCTGTTGATCTCCACTGCCGAAAAAATAAAATTAGCTGCTCGATTGAGTTACTTATCTTTCTTCTTTAGCCAGCTCGCTTTAGGCATCCATTGAATCTCCAAGGTGTTTTATGGGCATATCTCTGTAAAGAATCGAGTTTCTTGTAGCCATTCCCCGAATTTTCGCCCCCCTTCATGTGTACCAAGAATGAACGGAATCATCTTTGAAGGTGGACCTTGCATAAGACGTGATCTTCTTTTCCCTATGTGGCAGAAGAAAAAATGTAGTGGGACCTTTCTACGACCACATCGGCAGTATTTTGGTGCATTCTCGTGGTTGAAGCGCTCGTGGTAGTTAGCAAAATCGCCATGTCCAGATCTAGCTGCTAGGATACGGCCTAGAGTGGCACGCGAGAGGGTGAGTTCTTTAGGCCATGAGGGAGCTGATATAATTCCTAGTTTCTCATAGCTTATGTGCTGCGGGAGAAGATTTCTCCATAGTCTGCCAGTGGCTTGCGTTGTGGACTCATTTGCCCAGCGCTTCAGACCAGCATATGAGAAAAATAGGTCATCTGAAGTTGGTAAATGGCAGCCATTTTTCGCGGCTTTATCGGCGGCTTCATTTCCAATTATGGATGTGTGGCTCGGAACCCATCGAACCCGTATTTGGACCCGTCGAGTGTGGGCAAGCCGAGAGCGTTCTTGCCACTTGGGTGTCAAGGTGAGGAACTCATCAAATTGCGCTTGTGAGGACCCTGAAAAGTGAGACAAGAGTCGAGTGGCAACCTCTAAGTTATCTAGGCAAATCCAGAGGTCTGTAGCGAATTTAGCAGTTGGGAGTGCTAGTGCAGATTTTGCCCCTTCTAGGGCGCCTTTCACTTCCGCATCAAAAACTTCGACGCCCTTTCCAAGAGCGATACTCTTATGTAGAACTTGTACATCGCCTTAGTAGCCGATGAAGCCAGCGCCTCCCAGGCCATTTTGTTGCTTCGAGCCGTCTGAGTAGATAATTATGTCTCCAAAGGGGAAAGTATGGAGGAAATCAAGGAAGACTTGTCTGTTTTCATCTGCAGAGCCACTGTTCGGTCCAGCCACCCGGGTGTGTGCGGCTTCTCGGCACTCACGTGGATTCCAGGGGGGCATTGCAGTTGAAATAATTTGCTCTGGTTTTGGAAGAGATAGTACACGCCGAGCAAAACGAGAGGTAGGACGCTGTAAACTGAGAATTCTGTTAGCTCGGGGTAAGAGCGGATGTCGAGGATCTAAACGGCGTGGTCGGACTGTAGCTATAAGCACACGGCCATCGCGAGCTATTTCCGGTTGCTGTAACCCTGATTCACGGTGTAGGATCGCTGTTGGTGTGGTGCAATACACTGGAAGTGTTGCACGGGCGGAAGTGAATACGACCTTTGAAAGCTGCTGTAGTAGAGAGTCTACAGGGTTTGATATGCGTGCTTTGGGACCTTGTCTAGATCTACCTGGCCACCAAGTTTCTGAGGCGTAATACGCAACGGGGAGGACATATATCTCTATGTAACTTGAATAATGAACGTAAGTAAACCCCAACGCCGCACTGACACCACGAGACTAATATCCGTAAATTTCCCCAAAGCTACTCTACCAACGCCAATGTGGAGGACGAAGGCTAAACACCTGTCAGTGGTGTCATCTACGAACTTAGGAGTGAAATATTCTCCCAGAACCGAGATTAGGTCACGACAAAGGGTGGGATGAAAGTTTTCGTCGAGTTGGCGATCGGGAGGAGTGGTGTTGGCTCATTTTTGGTCGAAAATCCGACCCGCAGAGATTTCACGACTGCACAACTCAACGAAATCAACCATCTACACCCCAGATACGAACCGCAGACAGCCTATAACCTGTCTGATGTTCGTATCACAACAACCGACACCTTCAAAACCTTTTTTCTTTTTATCTGGAAAATCATTCCTAGCCAAACTCATCTCGCGGCCTCCTCAAGAATCATCTCAACACCTACCAAAGCAATCCCATACCTCCAAAAGCCAAATCGCCATTTAAGAAGCTAGAGGATGTCCGACCCTACGCAACTGCCAGTCACTGTGAAGGTACGGTCGAAATACCGGCCTTAGATGCGTCCTCACCTCGTCCAAGGGCACCAACAACCCGACCTGCGACGAATCGACACCGTCGAAAGACGTTCGAAATTTCGCCGGCATACTAACTAGAGTGTTCGACAAAGACTGGGGCACCGGTGTCTCGGTCTTGAGCTCTCAGTCGCGTTTTCGACCTCCACGGCTAGAGGTACGGCAGCGACGGGGAAAGGCCGGAGAGGTGGACATTCTACAAAGTTTCTGGGATGACGAGATCGGCTTTAGGACAGAGAGATGTTGTATGAAGGAACCAAAAGGGAATACAAACTGAGGAGGCCTTGGTGGGCGACTAGATGAGGCCTCCAGTGAAGAAAACGACCCCTGGATGAGATGAGGAGATGCTGAGATGAGCCTAAGCCGGGAATGAATCGAAGGAAAAATTTACAGAAGGCGAAGGTGTCAAGGGCTCGGGCTCGGGCGCGTGGTCGCCGAGGCT